TTAGAAATGAGAATGTGAATCCAGGTGTCTTCTGCCCTTCCTCCCATTCCTAGCCTTAAAGATTCCATTGAACTTGACTAGTGGAATCATCTTGGAACATGAGGACATGTAGTCAAAAACAATGAAGGGGTCACTGATGGCAACAATGTTCATTTTGCCAGTGTTGAAAGGAGCCCTGTATACTGTATACCAGACACCTAATACTGCCAAATCCATTTATTTCAACCTTTGCAATGGTGTTACATGAGTGTGGCTAGCACTGCATGAAAAGTTGCAACTACCTGCCCAGTGGAGAGGAGCAGAAAGTGCATCGGGGAGTCATTTCCCAATAGAAAGGGGTGGAGGCCTAACAGACATTTCACATTTAGTGTGCATAGGACACAACTAACGCGTTCCATGAAATTATTCATGAGAGTGACATCTTTGGCATGTAATGGATGAAAAGGAAACTTTGCCTAGAAGGGAAGGCAGGGTTGGGCTTGTGACTGAAGCTTGGGAGTACAATGTTATCACCTGGGAAGACTGGTCTGCTCAAGGGCCTAACAGGAGACTCAAGTTCACTTTAGGACAGGCCTGTGGAAACCCTGAGAGTACCAGCCAGAACCAGGTCACCATTCAACCCTTCTGTCCTACAAGCCTTCCTTCTTCCTGATCCTATTACCCCCCCAAAGCTTCCCACCACCCCCAACCAAAATGCCCTGGCTTAACATCAAGGGGCTTTCTTTGCTGCTTCCCTCCTGTGCTTTATGCCTTGGGGAATGTAGCTATCGGCCTTGATCCTCCCTGGTCATTGCCTGGCTGAGAACAAACGTGTCTCAATAGCAACCTAATTATTATGTAGGCAAGTCAAGAGATATTCTTGAGAATTTAAAGGGGTATAAATGCCGGAGGTGGTAGTTTCCTCCATGGGCTTTCACACAAACTAGAGATAATGAGGTTCTAACCAATAGATTACACTTCCTCCTATATTTGACAAGGAAGTAAAGACTTGCTAATGTTTAACATTTACCATTAGTACTTTGAATTCACATACTATCTATCTTTTTGCTTTGAGTTTAAAACACTCAGTGTGACATTTTCTCAGTTTTAAAACCAGACTCTTAACTCTCAAGGAGCTTTGTTAGATTGCAATAAGATTTATACTTTGCATTCTAAGTTGAATGAGAAGTAGTGCAGAAAGAGAACATCTTTACATCTAGTCATCTAAAAAAAAATCTCGGGCATAATCCTTCTAAACAGGCATCCCAGTACAACACTTAAATGCTACCGAAAGCTTAGATAAAATAAAATATGATTTTGATCAAGCATAATGAATTAGTAAAATGTCAGTCTGTGTTATTTTCAAATGAGATAGGAAATGCATAATGGCTGGTAAATTGCCTTTCATTAGAAAACCACAAAATAAAACTGTAAGCTTTTTCTAAGTATTTATTTCTGAATTTACATGGTTTTGATGTGTTTACCAACCATGCTTAGGCTTCCTGAGTTATTAAAAAGATAAGCTGCTTCACAGAATGAGTCAAACTATAAACCAATTAAACTTTACTGAGGGGCAAAATTCCCTGCACTTTTCTATCTTTTTGAGTTTCATGGCTGTGTGACTATCCCACTTTCCCAAGCCTATGCACCTTCATTTGTTGAAAATTTTGCCACATAACTCACGAAGGCCTGATTTCCAGAACTCCTGCCATAGTTATAGATAGCATTAACATTCTGGTGAAGAATCCATCCAGACTTCAACTTGAACTCCTTAATGTTTAACTTTTACTTCTATTCTGCATGAGCTATCCATCCTCAACTTCATTCTCACCAAGAAGAACTTCATTTTAGAAGTTGTCAACGTCAATATGAAAAGAACCTGTGACCACAGCCTTTTAGTTCTCCAGTTTTCACCCACCATGCCCAGAGAGTCCTTTGGTCCCCCAAGCTCCCATTCCCCTCAATGCTTCCCTTCCTTCTATTCCATCCCTGGGTAGAAACGAGAGGCATCTCTCCAACTGTTCTCTTGCGTGGGCCTTTATTTCCACCGGTAGTATCAGCCTGCTGTGTTCTGACTGTGGTTAATGTAAAATCAGTCTTTTCTGTCCCTTGAAGCAGGTGCTAAATGCCGAAGGAAACCACAGGTCATTTTCACCACATACTTTTGGTCTCGAATTTCAGTGAGATTCTCAAAGCTATCCTTTGGTGATTCTCCAGGGAACAGCCTCTTGCTTTCTTCCCAGGGATTCTTGCCTTTTCCTTAAGCCCCAACCTCCCTGCTGACATTTCCTATCTCTCAGCACATGACACTGTCTCACACTTCACAGTGAAAGGCAGAAGCTTTCAGGCACAAATACCACCACTCCCATTCCTCAGGGTTCCTGCCTTTCCCATGAGGCCTCTTGGTGGACACATATACTGAGATCTCAGCTAGACAGAAGGGATTTGTGTTAAACTGGGGCAGAGACCTGGTCATTATATCAGGATGTTGGAAAACATTTTTTGCAGCTACGTTTGTTCAGTTTCGTAGCAACTAGCTTTCCAGCTGATAGATAATGAAAATAAGGACTGGGTAAGAGAGTGGGTTATTTAATCCATGGGTATTTGTTGAGCACACATTATGGAAATAGCCCTTAGGCCCCATGAACCCAGTGATATCGACAGCGTCTCATTCATGTTTCATAGATGCTCACTGAATGAGTGAATTAGATAAATGGATGAACAAATGTGGTAAACAGTCCCTGAAGTGAAGTAATGAATGAAAAATTAACTGCAAGTTGAGTATCCCTTATCTAAAATGCTCGGGACTGTGTTTTAGATTTCAGATATTTTCAGATTTTGAGTATTTGCATATGCATAATATCTTGGAGATGGGACCTAAATCTAAACACAAAATTTATTTACGTTTCATATACACCTCATATACATAGCCTGAAGGTAATTTTATCTGGTATGTTTCATATTTTGTGCATAAAAAAAGTCTGTGCTAAGTACTTATGGAACTTTCCACTTGTAGTGTCAAGTTGGTGCCCAAGAATGTTCAGATTTTGGAGCGTTTCAAATTTCGAGTTTTCAGATTAGGCATGCACAACCCGTATCAGAAATTTTTCTGCTCAGAAGGAGCATATACTCTAATTTATAAATACCTTACTAGGACATTATGTAATAAAGTTCTGAAATGTGTGGAATTGAAAATTAGAGACAAGGTAATGTATAAGAAGGTGCTAATTATGTAGTCCAGGCAGGGTAATTCAGGCAGAAAGTTTCTTTTTCTTTTTTTTAATACAGGAGAGATCACATTATCCAACACTGCATATTCTAGGTTCACAATATATCTCAGGAAAGAGAACGAATAAATGCTTCATATTGCTAGAGAAAAGGGATGTTGGACCATGAGATTTAAGGCAATATAGAAAGAAAAAGGGAATTTCTTCTAGGGAGCACGGCCAAAGGAAAACCATAAAAAGGCAATGTCAAAATTGCGGACAGTGAAAACTGTGTCTGGGGAATGACAAGATCAGTTTAACTTGTCCATTCAAGTTGATAGATAGAACGTGTGTGTGTGTATGTGTGTGTGTTACAGAAATTCCAACTTAGGGACTAGTTTGTTAGGAATTTAGTAATACTCTTAGAGCACAGTTTTGATGGTGCACTCATATTGGAAGAAAAACGCTTTTGCTTATGATTATATCCTAGGAGCTTGCAAGAATAAGTCATTTATTCTTGTTCAATAGTTGGTAAAGAGTTGATGTCCCTAATAATTACACAGAAAACTTTCGGAGCCTCTTTCAGATGCGAGCTGAGACCCTAAACGCTTTGGGAAGTATAATATTTACAAGAAAATCTCAGGGTGGGCGAAGGAAGGCATGCATAAGCAGTTTGTAATACATAAAAACCGGATTTGTAAGTATTTCCCGTTAATATGTGGTCACCACCAGGGGGCGAATTCCTTTTCACTTGCGAAAATAGCTGCCAGAGGGAAGGAAAACTGCTCCCACCAGAGCTAGTGGAGAAAAAAAATCCCTGATCCACTTTACAGAGCCATAGAAGACAGTGAAGGTCTCCTCTTTTGCCAGGGGTAGGCTTATAACATTAATTGCATTTCCCTCATAAAAATGCCGTAAATAATGTCACCTGACACGAATACAAGGGATAAGCAGGCACGTCACAGGGCGAGAGTGGGAGCAAGAGAAAGGTGGGAGGAGGTGCCACACGCCTTTAAGCAACCAGATCTCATGTGAACCGACTTATCACCAAGGGGATGGCCTAAGCCATTCATGAGGGATCCACTGCCATGATGCAAACACTTCCCACCAGGCCTCACCTTTAACATGAGAGATTATATTTCAACATGAAATTTGAGCGGGGACAAATGTCCAAACTATATCATCTATGAAATGGAGTGTTAATTAATTCCAGCCCACAGGGCAGGTGGGATGCTCAATGAGCTGTAACAGGGGTTTTGAAATTTGAGGGTGCATCGGAATTACCCCGAGGGCTTGCTAAACCCCACGCTACTGGTTCCCACCCCCAGAATTTCTGACTTGGTGCGTGGAGGATGGAGCCTGAGAACGGGCATGTCTGGCCAGTTCCCTGGTACGGCTCAGTGAGTCCATAAGCAATGCTGCTGGTCTGGTGACCACCCTTTCAGAACCACAGTTTCCTTCTGAAATACTCACGGAAACCTGGTCCTCGTGATTTATTTGTCTGTTTCTTTGCCTGCTCCCTGTGTAAATCCTTCTGTTGCTCTATGGTACAGCCCTTCAGTTCAGTACCCGTCATCTGAAGTTCCAGCTCAGACCTTTTGTGCCGGCAAGCCTGCTGGGTTCAGTCTGACCTCACCAGTAAAGAACAGAATGGGTTTTCGGTGTCTAGTAGAAATATACTGCATGGCACATATGTAATTCTAAATTTTCTAGTAGCCACATTAAAAAAAAATGAGGAAGCCATGAATGTGGGGATCCTCGCGGGTGGCTGTTTCTGTGAGGTGGCTGTGGAAGGTATGAGGAGGCTGTGCGTTAATAAAGGAGAACACTGAAAACCCGGTGGATTCAAAATCCATTAAAAACTTGGAACCAAAGGTCAGACATGGAAGTGAATCAATGGACTGTGGAATATCCTTGGACAATAGTTATAAAATGGATCATCCTAAAATGGGTTTATGTATAATAATTAATAATAAGAACTTTCATAAAAGCACTGGAATGGCATCTTGGTCTGGTACCCATGTCGATGCAGCAAACCTCAGGGAAACATTCATGAACTTGAAATATGAAGTCAGGAATAAAAATGATCTTCTACATGAAGAAGTTATGGAATTGATGCGTAACGTTTCTAAAGAAGATCACAGCAAAAGGAACAGTTTTGTTTGTGTGCTTCTGAGCCATGGTGAAGAAGAAATAATTTTTGAAACAAATGGACCTATTGACCTGAAAAAAATAACAAGCTTTTTCAGAGGGGATTGTTGTAGGAGTCTAACTGGAAAACCCACATTTTTCATTACTCAGGCCTGCCGTGGTATAGAACCGGACTGTGGCATTGAGATGGACCGCGGTGTTGATGATGGCATGGCGTGTCATAACATACCAGTGGAGGCCGACCTCTTGCGTGCATACTCCACAGCACCTGGTTATTATTCCTGGTGAAATTCAAAGGATGGCTCCTGGTTCATCCAGTCGCTTTGTGCCATGCTGGAACAGTGCACCCACAAGCTTGCGTTCATGCACATTCTTACCCAGGTTAACCAAAAGGTGGCAACAGAATTTGAGTCCTTTTCCCTTGATGCTGCTTTTAATGCAAAGAAACAGATTCCATGTATTGTTTCCATGCTCACAAAAGAACTGTATTTTTATCACTAAAGAAGTTGTTGTGGTTTTTTTTAGTTTGTAAGCCAAGTGAGAAGACAGTATATTTGGTACTGTATTTCCCTCTCATTTTAACCTACTCTCATGCTGCAGAGAGTACTTTGAGACATACTCCTTCCATCACATAGAACCACTATGAAGCTACCTCAAACTTACAATCAATTAAATGCAATTGAATTTAATTAGGGATAAATAAAAGCGGATACTGGTGCAATCATTATGAGAGGCAATAATTATTAATTTACAGCTTTCATGATCGGCAAGTTATAATGATGCTATGCTATGAATTTTCAAGTAATTGTGAAAAAGTTAAACATTGAAGTAATGAATTTTTATGATATTCCTCCCTCTTAAGGCTGTGTATTCTAGTTTTGTCAAACTATAGAAATGACGGTGTGAAAGAACTTGGGCATCTTTGTGCATGGTCAAAGGCTCAAATCTTTATTTTAGAATTGGTATACAAAGATAAATCAACTGCATTTTCAGACCATTTATCTGGGATTAAGTTTGTTTTGTGACGTTTGTCCTGAATACCTTTGTTGCAAATTTAAAAAAATAATAATGTTTAATATTGAGAAAGACACTATGTGTTTTATGTGAGAGAAAGGGTGAGCAAACTAAGTTGACTCTTTTAAGGCTAAAACATAACATTGATAGAGGGATGGAGTTTCAACTGTGAGGTGCGGTGCTATGATGCAGCCGATCTACCAGCATAAATATCTTCTCATTTGTTCCTATGCAAATCAGTTGAGCTTCATATACCAGCAATATATCTGAAGAGCTACTATTAAAAAAAAACCCAAACTGTTGATTACTAGACAGGTAATGTGAATAAATTCTTTTTTTTTTTTTTTGAGACAGAGTTTCGCTCTTGTTACCCAGGCTGGAGTGCAATGGCGCGATCTCGGCTCACCGCAACCTCCGCCTCCTGGGTTCAGGCAATTCTCCTGCCTCAGCCTCCTGAGTAGCTGGGATTACAGGCACGCACCACCACGCCCAGCTAATTTTTGTATTTTTAGTAGAGACGGGGTTTCACCATGTTGACCAGGATGGTCTTGATCTCTTGACCTCGTGATCCACCCGCCTCGGCCTCCCAAAGTGCTGGGATTACAGGTGTGAGCCACCGCGCCCGGCCGTAATGTGAATAAATTCTATAGGTACATATGAAAATACAACTTAAATAATAAAAAAGTGGAATGTAAGGAAAGCAGTAAATGGATGGGCTGGGCTCAGCTGTCTGTAACTTGAGAGCAGATGGTTTGAGCCTGAGCAGAGACGTGACACAGCCTGTTCCATCAAGGCAGAGGCATAGTCCGTGGTTTCAGGACAGGCCTGCAGCTCGCTTCTCTATACACACTAGTGTGTGTGGAGAATGCTGCCAGGGGACCATTGCCAAGTAAGAAAGTGAACAGAATCAGAAACTTCTCAAGTGGAAATGTTCTAAAGATGGCGAGCCACAATAAAAATCATAGTACTCTTTGTAGTAAAATTCTTAAGCATGTTATTTTCTGTCGAAGTTTACAATCAAAGGAAAATAGCAATGTTTTATACCATCTACTGAAAGAAAAGGACTATGGCACATAGGACTCTAGGTGGCATCCAGCCGGAGGCCAGAGCTGAGCACCCAGCCCAGGAGGCAGGCTCCAGGCCTCCTCACTCAGCAGGTGCTGAGCCATCCCTGCACTGAGTCTCACTGGCTTTCAGTCTGACATTACGCGGGACATTTCTTGTTGCTCAAAAAATGAACTTGGCATTTGTTAATGACAGTTTTTAAAAAAAAATTTTTTACTAGATCTGTAATTTTTGTAAGTACACATAGCATGTAATGGTTTGTTTCCATTTTTTTATTTCAAAATATACATTCAAACTTAAAAAATAAGTAAAATGAATTTTAGTTATATATTTTATTTAACCTAATATATCATCAATGATAGGATATTATCGTATTACTATATTATTGGTATGGACATTATTAATAAAACATTTTTCTTTTTTTGAACTTTTGAATGAAATCTTAGAAATCTGGTATGTTCTGGAACATACTTTACCTTTCCAGTACATCTTCACTGAGAATAGCCCCGTTTTAGGTGACTAAGAGCCATATGTGGTTCATGGCTCCCGGGCTGGGTGGCACAATCGTAGAGTATTTTTAAGTGGGAGAAAACTGCTGTGTATTCGCAGCATGAAAAACTCCACAGAGAGTAGCGGGTTCTTTATGTTACAGACTCTTCTGTCACCAAAGAGGTATAACCTCTCCAAAGGCCAGGCGTCCTTGCCTGAGAAAACTGAAGGTCTAGGCCTGGAATATTTTTATAGGAAGCTACACATTTCACCAGACAAAGAAAACGTCCTTTGATTTCTGTCACAATGACCCTAAAATAGTCACATTTCCAAAATAAGGTTTTTCTGCTTTGAAATTGAATGGACAACATACCCAGATTCTGATATTTCAGTCAGGCCTAGAAGTGGTGAATTCACTGCTTTTAATTCTTCCTGGGAGAAATTCTGGAAGACCATTTTGAATGGAAATCTCCAGGCAAATTGCCATGTAGGTGAATTAGAGTCACTGTCTTAGAATTCAGCTTCTCCCAGACAGTGACCTCTAATGCTCACACCCAGGAAGGTAGAGCCTACCCACCCTAGAGAATTTTCACAGCAGATGTGGTTGAGTATTTCATAAAGAAAATGCTTAGTCTAAATTTATGTTTTCTTTTCAGACAAGACTAAAACTTATTTTTACAATTTTTTTTTTTTTTTTTTTGAGACGGAGTTTCTCTCTTGTTACCCAGGCTGGAGTGCAATGGCGCGATCTCAGCTCACCGCAACCTCCGCCTCCTGGGTTCAGGCAATTCTCCTGCCTCAACCTCCTGAGTAGCTGGGATTACAGGCATGCACCACCATGCCCAACTAATTTTTTGTATTTTTAGTAGAGATAGGGTTTCACCATATTGACCAGGATAGTCTCGATGTCTTGACCTCGTGATCCACCTGTCTCGGCCTCCCAAAGTGCTGGGATTACAAAGCAGTTCTTAATCCATAATACATTACATTTGTAAATATCTCAAGCTAAAAATCATTTAAATTTTGTTTCTTCAGAAAAGTGTCTGTGATTCATAACAGCATACTTGTATTTTCTAGTATTACTGAAATCTATTTTGAAAATGTGACTATATTTCATAGACAGAATGTCAGATGTTTTGGATTTGCTATGGAATTGCTAAAGTTGTACCATTAGCTGAGAATAAGATGCCTCTAACTTTTTCTACCTGAACCTCTAAACACATCTAGGCATTTTTCAGGCACTTAGTTTATCAGGGAAAAATAATATTATTATCCTATTGAACTATATGAAACTACTGTTTTTGTAGGCCAAAAATTGTTAAATAGGGACAATTTCATGTGTATAATCATAAATAGAGAGGATAGCATTTTTCTCTTCTGTTCATTTTCCATGCCATTTAAAATTGAGTGGTAAGAAAAAAATGTAAAAGCTATGAATTTCAAATTTGCACTATTTCTAGTGGAAAAGAAATAAGGCAAAATACTTTAGAGCTATGATTCTCAAACTTGGCAGCCCATTAAAATCACCTGTGTGAAAAATACACTCTAAGGTGACCTCCAATGAGTCATGCCCAGTGGAATACAGAAAAGGCAAGTCACTCCCTTAGTCAGGTTTCATTTTATGGTAAAGGTGACATAAAACATTTCTATGATTACATTGTGTTGTATAAGACTCCATCTTAAGGAACTGGAGCAGAGATCTCCTGCTGGCCTTGAAGCAGTAAGCTGCCGTATTGTGAGGGGGCCTAGGAGGGGGCCATGTGACAAGGAACTGTGGGCAGCTTCCAGGAGTAGAGTGCTGCTTGGCCATCAAGGAAATGGAGACCTGAGTCCCTGAGGGAGCTTAGACAAAGATTATTTCACTGTGGAGTCTCTCCTGAGACCACAACTGACTGACAATTGAATCACAGCCTTGTGCAGAGGACTCTGTTAGGCTGTGCTCAGATTCCTAGCCCACAAAAACTGTTGGATAGTAGATGTGCCATAATTTTAATCCAATAAATTTGTGGTAATTTGTTTTGCAGCAACAGATTACGGCATTTCACCAGGCAAAGAAAACATCCTTAGATTTCTGTTATAGAAATCTGGGAATCTTTAACAAATTGGAATATACCAGACAATGGAATCCATCAGAATCTCTGGGGCTAGGACCCAGGCATCATTGATTTTTACAGTTCCCCAGTGAC